ACACACACACACGCGCACGCACACACGCACGCACGCACGCACACACGCACGCACGCACGCACGCACACGCACACGCACACGCACACAAGCACACGCACACTGCTTCCTCCGCTGGCCGGGCAGCGGGCGACGGCGTGGGGCGCAGGGCTGTCGTGGATGCCATCCGGCGCGGCAGGCGGGGAGGCTGCGCGAGGCGAGCAGGCGAGCAGGGAGAGGCACCCAGCTTTAAGGAAAGACACACGCACACGCGCACACACTTACACACACACACACACGCGCACACACATACACACACACACACACACATTTACACACACACACACTTACACACACACACACACAAACGCACACGCACACACACACACACACACACACACACACACACACACACACACACGCGCGCGCGCGCATGCGCAGAGCTCTCGGCCATTACAGGAGGAGAGGACAACAGAAAAACGAAATGGGCATAAACTGGCTGAGACCCCATGCCTTGGGCGCTGAACTAGAGGTCTCCCAGATGGGGTCGGAGTAAATAGGGTCGAAGGATCGCTCCGCATCGCCGATGGATCACCGATGCATCGGCGATGCATCGGTGACGTCGGCCACGCATCGGCGACGTCGGCGTAGAGAAAATCGGGCTCCACATCGAGCCGCATCGCCGATGCATATGCGATGCGGCGCGATCCTCCGACCCCATCTACTCGGACCCATCTGGGAGGCTTGGATTGACCCCCCACACACACACTTCCCACACCCCTTCACCAGCGCGCGGCGCCGCTGGGGGGCGTAGGGAAGGAGGGCCACCGCCAAACTCACGGAATCCGCGCGAAGCTCCGAGAGTTTCCAAACAGTGCTGGTACGTGGGGGTTCTCGCTTGTCTCCTAAGGAACTGGGCCTGCGGGCCGCTTTGGCCGCCATGCGGCCGCCATGTGGCCGCGTGGCCGCCGTCGCCGTCTCGTCGCCGCCCGTCGCCGTCCTTCGCCTGAGCCTGCGGGCCGCTCTGGCCGCCATGTGGCCGCCGTCGCCGCCTCGTCGCCACCCGCCGCCTCGTCGCCCTCCGCTTTGCATTGCTTCGCACTGCGTTGCGTCCCTTTGGAATGCTCTGCATTGCTTTGCATTGCTTCGCATTGGTTTGCATTGCTTTGCATTGCTTTGCACTGCTTCGCAGTGGTTCGCATTACTTCGCATTGCCCTGCAGTGCGTCGCATTGCGTGGCATTAGTTTGCGTTACTTTGCACTGCTTTGCGCCATCGCATTGCAATCGCACCGATTTGCAATTGCATTGCATTGCATTGGTATACATTGATTTACATTGCTTTGCATTGATATGCCAGAAATGCTATGCCGTGCGTCGCATTGCTCTGCATTGCTCTGCATTGCGTTACATTGCTTCGAGCTGAGTATAGGCATTATGTTGCACTGCATTTCATTGTGGCGCGTTGCTTTGCACTGCGCTGCACCACTTAAATTGCGCACCACACAGATTGCACTACGTAGGCTCTCCTTCCTGAAAGAATAATATCCCCCCTCCCTCCTCCCGCCCGAGATGAACGGCCCCCCCTCCCGCCCCAAATTAACGGCCCTCCTGTTCGCATTGCAATATGCATGTGATTATGCCCATCGCCCATCCTGAATATGAACCCATACCATCCCAAGCAGGCCGGTATCCGCCCCCTCCCCCCTCATCCTCTGCGACAAACACTATGCGCGAACACCCGTTCATCAAAGCTCAGAAGTGTTCAATAAGCCCTTGCAACCAATGGGACGACATGCACACGGGCGCGTCGTCGCGCACGCAATCGAAGACCCTTCAACAACAGTGGGTTTCGCATGGATTGTCCCAAGACATATACTTGACACACAAAAACAACAACAAGGACAACATCAACAACAACAACAACAACAACAACAACAACAACAACAACAACAACAGCAACAACAACAACAACAGAAAACACAACAATAACAACAACAACAACAACAAGAGTAGTAACAATAACAACAACAAGAACAACAATAACAACAACAACAACAACAACAACAACAACAACAACAACAACAACAACAACAACAACAACAATGGCTTCGCAACAAGAACTGTCGAACAAAAACTTGTGCCCGCACCCTTGCGAATTCACGATCATCCTCGTGTCTACCGTCATCGACGTTGCCATGATACCGCGCCCGCCCAAGTCGCCGACTCGCACTGAAGTGCCCGTTGGGGGGTGCCCAGCGGTCAGCGCCACCGCGGCCGCGTCGGTCGCGCCAAACTAGCTATCGAGCAAGCCAGCAAACCAGCTACCGTGCAGCCGTAGCCGTCGAGCAAGCGAGCGTATGGCAGAGGAAACCCCACGCCCACATCGCGCCTCTCCACACGGAAAATCCGAGGCAGGTGAAACATCAGCACGAAGCCTCGAGCCGAATCCAGCGACTCCTCGATGAGGCCGAGGACAAGTGGAAACTGGGCAGCAGCTGAAGGAGGAGGACAACGACGACGAACATGGTTGCTTTCCATTGTATACGCGCACATAGACCAGAACTAAACATAAGGAGAGTGTGAGAGAGAGAGATAAAAAAGTTTGAACGCCCAAAACAAAACGCCAGACAGACACACAAAAAAAAAACATACCAGCAAGCGCGTGCAAACACACAAACACACACATACGCACAACAAAAAACAGACAAGCGCGCGCGCTCGCACACACACACACACACATAAACAAAAAAAAAACAAGCACAAACACAAACACAAACACAAACACACACACACACACATACATACACACACACACACACGCGCGCACACGCACACACTCACATACACAGACAGACAGACAGGCAGGCAGGCAGACAGACAGACAGACAGAGAACAGACAGACAGACAGACAGACAGACAGACAGGCAGGCAGAAAGGCAGGCAGGCAGGCAGGCAGACAGGCAGGCAGACAGACTGACTGACGGACAGACAGACAGACACACGCGATGTACTTTCCAGGGAGAAAGGGGTCGCCGGGCGATAACCTGACCTTTCCGCTGTTCCGCGCAACCCCACATTGGATCCTAAACAGAGTCCGCCGCCCACCAGACCTGCGCCAACGACAGGGTTGGGATATCGGGGGGACGCTTGGGGCAAGATCCAAGAACCTGGACAATCGCCAGACCCCTAAAAATAATTCTCGAGGAGGGTCCAGCAAATTCGCGGGGGAGGAGAAAGAAGGAGAGAGGAGGAGAGAGGAGGAGCCAGGCACTTGGACAATTTGGCTGTTTGCCTCTGGGGCCTCTGGGGGTCTCTGGAGGTCTCCACGAGATCCTTGGTCCTCGAAGGCCTCCAGAGGCCCGAGAAGAGTCAAAAGCATTCCGAGACATCCTCGATCCGCGAACTGTGGCGCGGAGGTCGAGAAGGTACACCGTGCTGTTGGCCAGCAGTGGGCCGGACAGCTCGAGCGTGTACAGCGGCCGCGTCTCGCCTGGGAGGGGCCCCGAAATATACACTGGGTCGCCTGGTCGGCCAGGGAGCTTGGTGTGCAGGCTCCCAGGCTTCCCAGGCCACGGGACGCTGGAGTGTCCACGCACGGAATTCCTCCGCCCAGCCCCTGGCTCCCTGGCCGACCACACGACGTGGTGTATGAAAGCACAGAAAATCAACGATACGCAGGCGTGGGGAACCCATCAGCGTGTCATTGCTGAAGCAACACCAGGCTTTCGGACCCCAGCTGTGGAGTAACACTCTGACAGGCTCCCAACGGTGGCGTGTCATCGCACTCTTGTCCTGGGATCCGACGCCGCGAAAAAAATGCAGCATGGTACAGAACTCGCCCACAGCCCTGCACCTCGTCCTTCTGCGGCACTGCTCGCGCCGGATCGATCCGTGAAGGCCCCCGAGGCTCGCAGAAAAGGCGACGTCGCCCGCTGCGAGACACTTACGACGCCCGGACCTCGGGGCATGCGTTCGGCCCCCCTCCGAGTGGCCGACAAACGACCAGCCGCCGATGGAGAGCCTCGGCGGCGCCCCGCACACGGCGCAGAGGGCGCACGCCAGCTCGCAGCGGGAGCCGCACCCGTCGCACATGACCATGGGCGGCGCCTCCATCGTCTCCTGCCTGTCGGCGGATCGCTCAGCCTCCTCCTCCCCCGCCTCTTCCCCCTCCTCCTCCTCCTCCTCCTCCTCCTCCTCCTCCTCCTCCTCCTCCTCCGCCTCCTCCTCCTCCTCCTCCTCCTCCTCCTCCTCCCTCCTCCTCTCCTCCCTCCTCCCTCCTCCCTCCTCCCTCCTCCTCCCTCCTCCCTCCTCCCTCCTCCCTCCTCCCTCCTCCCTCCTCCTCTCCTCCTCCTCCTCCTCCTCCTCCTCCTCCTCCGCCTCTCCTTCCTCCTCCTCTTTCTTCTCCCCTCCTCCTCCTCCTCCTCCTCCTGCTCCTCCTCCGCCTCCCCCTCATCATCATCACCATCATCATCATCAGCAGCATCATCACCAGCAGCGGTAGCATCATCATCATCATCATCATCATCATCATCATCATCATCATCATCATCATCATCCATCAGCATCATCAGCATCATTATTCATCATCATCAGCATCATCATCAGCAGCATCATCATCCTCATCCTCATCCTCATCCTCATCTCCTCCTCCTCCTCGTCCGTCCTCCTCCTCCTCCTCCTTCTCCCCCTCCTCCTCCTCATCTTCCGCCTCAACCTGCTCCTCCCGTCCTCCCCCACCTCCTCCTCCTCCTCCTCCTGTTCCACCCCCTCCTCCTGCTCCTCCTCCTCCTCCACCTCCTCCTCATCAGCATCATCATCATCATCATCCTCATCAGCATCACCATCATCATTGTCATCATCAGACTGAGCATCACCATCATCTGGCTCATCATCATCATCATCATCATCATCATCATCATCATCATCATCATCATCATCATCATCATCATCGGCATCATCACCAACAGCATCACCATCAACATCATCAGCATGTGCATGACCATCACCAGCATCATCATCAGCAGCATCATCCACACCGCCATCATCGCCATCATCAGCAGCATCATCATCACTACACATCACCACCACCACCACCATCCGCATCATCATCATCATCATCATCATCATCATCATCATCATCATCATCATCATCATCATCAGCATCATCATCATCATCATCCGCATCATCATCATCATCATCATCATCATCATCATCATCATCATCATCATCATCATCATCGTCGTCATCATCGCCATCATCACCATCAGCATCAGCAGTAGCAGCAGCGCCATCATCCTAACCATCATCATCACCAGCAGCATCACCGTCGTCATCATGATCAACAGCATCAGTAGCATCAGCATCATCATCATGATCAGCATCTTCTCCTCAAACATCAGACCATCAGCAACATGATCAACATCAGCATCAGCATCAGCATCGCCATCAACATCATAATCGTCATCAGCATCAGTAGCACAATCACCCTAGCCATCGTCATCATCGGGAGCAGCATCATCATCAGCATCATAAGCATCATGATCAGCAGCAGCATCATCAGCATCGTCGTCATCATCATTATCAAAAGAAGGTTCGGGGGTGAAAAGGGGGCCCCTGAAACAAATGACAAACAAAAAGACATGAAGATGATGGCTACATTAACTGGCGACCTCACACCTCGCGGGCGCCTTACCATGTGTTAAACCATTGGCGCGACAGCGTCTGAGCAATACCCCTGACAAGCCCGCCAGTAGAAGTCGCAGTAGTACTAGCAGCAGTGGCAGTATCCGAAGTAGTAGTGGTAGCACTGGTGGTAGCAAGAATAATAGCAGTAGTAAAAGTAGCAGTAATAAAAGTAATAACGTGACAGCAGTGCTAGTAGCAGCAGTTGTAGAAGTAGCAGTAGGAGTAGCAGTAGCAGTAGTAGTAGTAGTAGTAGTAGTAGTAGTAGTAGTCGTAGTAGTCGTAGTAGCAGTAGCAGTAGTAGTAGTAGTAGTAGTAGTAGTAGTAGTAGTAGTAGTACGAGTAGTAGTAGCAGTACTAGTAGTAGTAGTCGTTGTAGTAGTAGTAGTAGTAGTAGTAGTAGTAGCAGTAGTGGTAGTAGTAGTAGTAGTAGTAGTCGTCGTAGACGTAGTAGTAGTGATAGTAGTAGTAGTCGTCGTCGTAGTAGTTGTAATCGTTGTCGTCGCCATCGTCGTCGTGATAGTAGTAGTAGTAGTAGTAGTAGTAGTAGTAGTAGTAGCAATAGTAGTAGTAGTAGTAGTAGTGGTGGTGGTGGTGGAAGTAATAGTAGTAGCAGCAGCAGCAGCAGTAGTAGTAGCAGTAGTAGTAGTAGTCGTCGTCGTCGTAGCAGTAATAGTCGTAGTAGCAGTAGTAGTAGTACTAGCAGTAGTAGTAGTAGCAGTAGTAGTAGTAGCAGTAGTAGTAGTAGTCGTAGTAGTAGTAGTAGCAGCAGCAGTAGTAGAAGTAGTAGTAGTAGTAACAGCCGTGGTGCTACTTCTAGTGATGGTAGGGTAGTCTTACCAGTAGTCGCAGTAGTAGTAGTAGTAGTAGTAGTAATAGTAGGAGTAGGAGTAGTCGTATTAGTAGCAGTAGTAGTAGTAGCGGTAGTAGCAGTAGTAGCCGTAGTAGTAGTAGTAGTAGTAGTAGTAGTAGTAGAACGTAGTAGTAGTAGTAGTAGTAGTAGTAGTAGTAGTGGTAGTAGTAGTAGTAGTAGCAGTGGTAGCAGTAGTAGTAGTGGTAATGGTCGTCGTAGTACTAGTAGTCGAATTGGTGGTAGTAGTGGTAAAAATAATAGTCGCCATCGTCGTCGTAGTAGTGGCAGCAATGGCAATAGCAATCGTAGCAATAGTAGTAGTAGTAGCAGTAGCAGTAGTAGTAGTAGTAGTAGTAGTAGTTGTAGTGGTAGTAGTGGTAGAAGTAGCTGTTGTGGTAGTAGTAGTAGTAGTAGCAGCAGCAGTAGTAGCAACATTGGTAGTAGTAATCGTGGCAGTAGTGGTAGCGGTAGTGGCTGTAGCAGTAGTAGTACACGTAGTGGTAGCAGTGGTAGCAGTGGCAGCAGTAGTAGTAGTAGTAGTAATAAGAACAACAGTAGTGGCGGTAGCGGTCGTGTGGCAGGAGTAGTAGTAGTAATACTCGCCGTAGTAGTAGTAGTAGTAGTAGTAGTAGTAGTAGTAGTAGCGGTAGTGGTAGTAGTAGTAGTAGTAGTTATTGGTTCGGCAGTGGCGATAGTAGTAGCAGTAGTAGTAGTAGTAGTAGTGGTAATAGCCCTAGTACTAGTACTAGTACTGCTACTAGTACTAGTAGTAGTGGCAGCAGTAGTAGTAGTAGTAGTTGCAGAAGTAGCAATACCGGCAATAGTAGTAGTAGTAGTAGTAGTAGCAATTGTAGTACTAATAGTAGTAGTAGTAGTAGTAGTAGTAGTAGTAGTAGTAGTAGTAGTAGTCGCGGTAGCGGTAGTAGTAGTAGTAGTAGTAGTAGTAGTAGTAGTAGCCGCAGTAGTAGCAGTAGTAGTAGTAGTAGTAGTAGTAGTAGTAGTAGCAGTAGTGAAATAGTAGTCGTGGTAGTGGTAGCGGCAGTGGAAGTGGTAGTAGTAGTAGTAGTAGCAGTAGTAGTAGTAGTAGTGTTAGTGGTAGTGGTAGTGGTAGTGGTAGTGGTAGTGGTAGTGGTAGTGGTAGTGGTAGTGGTAGTGGTAGTGGTAGTCGTGGTGGTAGTGGCAGTGGTAGTGGTAGTGGTAGTAGTAGGAGTAGGAGTACTAATGGGAGCAGCAGGATCCTTATGGAATCCTATGGAATCCCTCTGGGAACCGACAAGATCACTGGAGGAAACCCTGTAGGATCCCTATAGGATCCTAGAAGTGCCGCATCAAACCCTATAGCATCCCCATGGGATACTGCCGGGTCCCTATGGAATCCGATAGGACCCCTATGGGATCTCATCGGGGCCCTATGCAATCCCAAAGGATCCCTATGTAATCCCATAGGAACGCCGCCGCGGGCGGGGAGGGTTCGTTGAGTTCATTGGGGGGGGGGCACAGGACCACGCGACGGGCTCCACAGGTAGGGTTCCGTCGAACAGCAGCAACGGCAATAACAACAATCCGCACCGCAGAACCTCAGTTCAGCCACGCTGCCAGGGACAGTGAATGACCGCTCCCCCCCCCCACCTTCTGGTATTCTGATCGGAGTGGCAAAGTGATGGGCGCGAGGAAAACATGCGTATAGTCTGAACGAAGCCATGCGGATAGCAGAGAAAATCATGCGGATAGTTTGCCGAACTCGTTTACTCTACTCCACCCTACTCCTCCTGTTCCTCCTGTTCCTCCTCCTCCTCCTCCTCATCCTCCTCCTCATCCTCCTCCTGCTCCTCCGCCGCCTCCTCCTCCTCATCCTCCTCCTCCTTCTCCTCCGCCTCCTCCTCCTCCTCCTCCTCTTCCTCCTCCTCCTCTCCTCAATCAGATTCCCCTTATCGGGGGCGGAATCAAGCAAAACCCTAGGAAAAAAAACGGAGCACCCGCAAAAAAAAAAACAAAAGAGGAAACAACCAAACCTGGGGGGGCACCTCCGCCGCCCTCCCCCCCCCATCCTCCCCCCCCCCCCACCCAGCAAGCTCCTCTGCGTTGCTTGGGTTGCGTGTTGTGTGTGGTTGCTTGCTTTTCCCTAGGGTGTTGCTTGACTCTGCTCCATACGAGGATCCTGATTGGGATGAAAGGAGCCTCCCCCCAAGCAAAATCCTCAGGATTGCTTTTAGTGCGTGGTTATATGGTTGCTTGATCATGTTCTGTAAGAGGATTCTGATTGGGATGAAAGGAGCTCCCCCCCAGCAAATTCCTCAGGAGTGCTTGTACTGTTGTTGTTTGCTTTGTTTGTGGGTTCCTATGGGTTTGCTTGATTCTGTTCCGTAAGCAGATCCTGGTTGGGATGAAAGGAGGAGGAGGAGGAGGACGAATGCGAAGAGGAGGAGGAAGAGGGAGGAGGAGGAGGAGGATGGAAGAGGTTTGAGTGGTTTACGCCCGCTGTCATTTTGCAAGGGGCCCCCATTTCACCCCGAAGCCCAGAATCACCAGATTCATCATCAGCGACATCATCATCCGCCTCCTCCTTCTCCTCCTCGGATTCGCCTTCGTCTGTTTAAGACTAGTATTCATTCACCTCCTCTTTCTCCTCCTCATCCTCCTCCTCATCCTCCTCCTTTCCTCCTCTCCTCCTTCTCCTCCTCCTCTTCCTCCTCTTCCTCCTCCTCCCCCTCATCCTCCTCCTGCTCCTCCTACTTCTCCTCCTCCTCCTCCTCCACCTCCGCCTCCTCCTCCGCCTCCTCCTCCTCAACCGCCTCCTCCTCCTTCTCCTCCTCCTTATCCTCATCGTCGTCCTCATCCTCCTCCTCCTCCTGCCTAGCTGAAAGGCTGGAACACCTCCTCTTTCTCCTCCTCCTCTTCTTATGATTAGTCTTAGTATTCGTTTAATCCTTCTCAGTTGTACTATTATGCGTGCGCTTCGTCTTATGATTAGTCCGTTATTAGTATGATGCTTAGTCTTGTTGTTTGTGCGAGTCTTATTCTTACTAATATTATTACTAGAACTATTAGTATTAATGTTACGCTTCTTCTGATTATCCATAGTCGCGTGATGAATGTTAGGGTTATCCTTATCATTGTTATCATTATTAATAGTATTCCTCCCTCTCCTTCTCCTCCTCCTCGCGCTTGTCTCACTGGATGTTGGACTCAAGGGGAAGGGAAAAGGGGGAGGAGTGACAGGCAATCACCACATGCGCCTTTTCACCGCTGGCGTTGGTTGAAGAGGCGCGACCATTCTTCCAGAAAGAAGCGTCGGCCGAGGGGGCGGGACGTTGCCTTGGGGGACCGAGGGGGCGTGGAAGGACGAGGGGGGGTGGGTGGGGAGGAGGGAGGGGGTGGGTGACTTCCAAACTGTTTGTAGTCACGCCAATGCTGTCTGCGCAGGCCTATTTAACTCTTTGTCTTAAACAAGCAGAAATCGGCACGCTGATCCTTGCCTTAGGGCAACCCTCCCAAAGAAGACAATGAGTGAGCAGTGTGAAAAAGGATGCGATGCATCTGCGATACACCGATCATTGAAAAATCGAGTGACTATGGCATTTGCTGAAGTCACGCAATATGTTGCGTATGCGTTGGCCCACCTTACGTTTTGTTTCATCTGGGATGGTTGCACTAGGGCAAGAAATGTGCGTGACTGCAGCATGTCCTGTAGCCAACAAAAGTTTTAGCAGTGTGTTGCTGTTCACCTTCCTTCATTATGCTGTTGGATTTAATATGTCTTTTCTCGGCTCTGGTCCTCTCATCTCGGCTACGTTCGCATCGTCTCTCATGATGGTTCTCCCGACCCGACTCTCTCGTGGGGGGCCTGCACGCAGTACTGCTGAAATCCAGCCCGCTCGAAGGAGGGTACTGGCGCGTCGGTCTGCTTGTGCAGGCTGCGCTTGCTTCAGCAGGGTCTCGCCTGCCTGATGTGGTGCGGCTCGCGCGGGCTCGCCTCTTTGAAGGGGCCCTGGGACACACAAATAAATACACACAAATAAAATGAATCCCCATATTTTCCTATATTTTCTGGGTTTTTGTCTTCCCCCCCACTTCCCATATTTTCCCATATTTTCCTGGGAATCGCCGATTAATTGTGTCTGTGTGTTTTTTCCCCTCCTGACTCTTGGGGGCCGTGCGCGCGCGAAAGGCCCGCTGCGGCTCCTAACGGCAACTCCGGACAAACTCGATCACGCGAAGCTCGGCAGGCCGAAGTCGGCCCGACAATAACTCGGCCGCGCAAACTCGGCTCCAGAAAAAAAGGCTCGGCCAGACAGAGACTGGAGCCAAGTACAACTCGGCTGGAGAAACCGAACTTCAAATGTAGAAGCCCGGCCAGAAAAACTCCGGACAGACTCAGCCGGAAAAACTCGGCCGGGGAAAAACTGGGCCCAGCGGAACTCGGCCCGCGCCGAACTCGGGCCGCCGAACCCGGCCGGCGCTCCGGTTGCAGCGGGAGTTCGCCCTAAACTCGGCCAGACGAGCTCGCACCAGAGAAACTCGGCCGACACAAGCACGGCCGGAGAAAAGGGACCCACGCTGAACTCGGCCAGGCGAAACTCGGCCCTGGGCCGAGTTTGGATTGGCCGAGTTCGGCTGGTCCGAGTTCGGCTGGCCGAGATTCGCTTTGCGGAAGTTTTTCCTTGTCGCCGAGGGCCCAAGTCACGTGGCGTCTTTGGCTGTTTCGAGATTTGGACCGGCTTGTCGCCCTCTTGGGACCCTGTTGGGCCTCTAAATGGAGGCCCATGATGCAGTCTTGGATAGCTCCTGGTCCCGTCTTGGAGCTCTCTTGGGGCCCTCGTGAGGCCAGGTTGAAGCATCTGGTGCTCTTCGGGAGCAAATAAGCGAGCAGGCACAAATAATTGATTTGGGCTACTCGGGGGCACCTGGGGGCATATTTGGGCCATATTGGCGCGACTTGGAGGCCGTTGTGTTGTCAGTTTTCATCTCCTCTTGTCGTGCATTATCCTATATGATCTGGTCTTGTGTCGTCTGGACGTCTTAGGCTGCCTTCGGGGACTCTTGTGCCCTCTTCGCGGGAAGGGCATGCTGATTCCATGGTCGGGGCATGTTGATTCCATGGCCAGCGGTCGACTGGAGGAACTAACCCACCTTCCTAGGGAAAGTCCCTCCGGTGGATCTGGACGTGGGGGGCCACGAGGGGTTAGAGCGTCTAAGATGGCCCAAGACAGCTCCAAGATGGCTTCAGATAGCTCAAGCTAGACTTCAAAAGACACAAGATAGTCAAAATGGCTTCCATAATGACTCTAAGAGGCTTCCAGACTGCCACAAGACGGCTCCAAACGGTCACGGAGCCTTTCAAGGAACATGTAGTGTGTCAGTGATGTTTGGCTTCTTGCCCCTTCGATTCCAATGGGCCCCTGAGGCCACTTGGCGGCTCCAAGAACGCCCAAGAAAACCCCAAGAGAGGCCAGCAGAGGTCCAAAATGCCCCCTAAGAGAGGTCCAAGATGGCCGGTTCCAAGAGGCTATTGTTTTGGCTCCGACGAGAAGGCTTCCTGATTAAGCCCCCCCCTTCCATTTCATAACCAAAAATCACTGAAACGCCAAGAAGTTTGAAGGATTAAGACGGCTACAAGATGGCAACAGCTGCATTAAGATTGCCTTCAAGATGGCGCAAGATGGCCCAAGTTGGTTCCAGATCGCCTCAAGCATGCCTCGACGAGGCCCCGAGACTGCTCCAAGATGGTCTGAGTGGATTCGGAGCCTCGGAGCCTCCCATTGATGCCCTAGAGAGGCTAAGAGTATTTAAAACGTACTGCAAGTATGTCAATGTTCGTTTACTCCTCGTCGTTTCGCTTCCAATGAACCTCCGAGGCCTCAAGATGGCTCCAAGATCACCGAAGACAGCACCGATAGGAGCCAGAAAGGCTACAAAACCCGCCAAAAAGCGCCCCAGGAGCGGCCCTAGCGGGCCCAGATAAGAATTCGTTCGAAGTCCGACGAGGCGTTTCCAGATCCGCCCCAAAGTCTACCTGATGCGGTTCAACACCACATGATACGGTGGCCTATGTGCACAGTGCCTGGTTTGATGGGTGGAGTTGCGTGCATGAATTGCAGCTCTATCTTTCCGCATTGCGAAAGGAGAGCCAGACGAGGATTGGCCTTCTGCATGATCGACGAGTTCGGCAACGCCATCGCTCCAGCATCGGGCCCACTCCCCTTCCCTTGGCAAACGTCGGGGGTAGCAGATTTGCATGCAGCCAGGCAAGCGGTGCTCCACAAGTCTCAAGGAGAGCTGGTCACAGATTTCGAAGAATTGCTCCTGGGCTGGAGTTCAGGATCTCTTTATGGCACGCAGTCAGATCACCAGTGTCATGAGTTGCGGGTCGCCTTTTGGAAAGCAGTCGAGGACGTCTGAGCTGGTCAGATAGAGATCGAGTGGATCCCGTCTCATTTGTCTCAGACGAAGGGCGAGAGAGCTGCAGGTCCCATGACTTATTGGCACGGCAGTAGGCAGGTGGATTTCTACGCGAAATGTGGAGCTGCCACGCACCCCCGAGATGCACCTCAAGAGCGAGCTCGCCAGATGCGCGAGACAGCGACGGCCTTGACCCCGAAAACGGTGCTGAGGATTCTGCGCCGATGCTCGAGAGGAAAATGGGCTGATGTGGAGAAGAAATACTAGGTTGAGAGACCTATCAGTCTTACCCTGAGTGATGACGACGGCCACGTCGTGCGTAAGCTTATAAGAAGATTGGCTTGCGCGAGGTGCGGAGAGAACCGTGCTCGAAGGTGCGATCTTGTTTACACGTGATGTGGAGGACCCCCATCAGGGGCCAAAGCAGCTTATGGATCGCACCGACTCTGGAAAACGGGCCCGATGACTTGGTGTGTAGATTGTGGGTATCGATGTGTCAGTAGAGACTTCATGATTGGCAGGCCGTGTGTAGGTAGGCCTCCCCTGGGTTCTCCGAGGCACTGTAAGAGGAAGTACCTTATCCAAGGGAAGGGCCCGTCTGGTGAGAAAGTAGGAAATGGGTTTCACCACCCTGTCCCTATTACCTCGAGTAGCTGATTATGTGAATTACGTAGCGCCCATGTCTTTTGGGTTCTGGTTTGGTGCCTCGTTCTCGGAGCCCCTCGTCGTCATCGGAAGCCTCGGGAGCCTCCTCCTCCTCCTCCTCCTCCTCCTCCTCCTCCTCCGCCTCCTGCTCATCTTCCTCCTCCTCCTCCTCCTCCCTCCTCCTCCCTCCTCCTCCCTCCTCCTCCCGCCTCCTCCCGCCTCCTCCCGCCTCTTCCCGCCTCCTCCCTCCTCCTCCCTCTTCCTCCCTCCTCCTCCCTCCTCCTCCCTCCTCCTCCCTCCTCCCTCCTCCCTCCTCCTCCCTCCTCCTCCCTCCTCCCTCCTCCCTCCTCCCTCCTCCTCCCTCCTCCCCTTCTGTTCTGGAGGGCGGCCCCCCTTCCCCCCCAAGACCTGGAAGGGCTGGAGGTCGACCGGGTCCACCTTGGGCTCCCCCGCTGCTCATCCCTCCACGACTCCTCGAAGACGTCCAGGGCCATGTCCGGGCGCGTCATTCACGGCCTCCCCACGGCGGCAGCGCTCGGTGAGGGCTGCACACTCCGCGCGGGGCTTGAACCACACGAGGCCACATTGGTGACGATGGTGTTGGCTACGAAGCCCCCCTCCACAGACAAACAGTGCTGCTGGCACCGACGACCGTGGTGATACAGGAGGTGAAAATCAGACTGGCGATGCCGATCAGGCTGATATATGCAAGACCAAATCATGCCTTGGCGACGTGGGCCATGGTTTCTGACACCGCGTGAATCGTCCAGTCTTGTATGAAAGAGCCTCGCTCTCGAAGGTCGCAAGAGGTTGTCGGCACGATCTTTCGTATGGATATCGCGTCGTGCCCCTGGGAGGTCCTCCCTCCTCCACCCCTCGTGCTTATAGTCAACTCCTCCCTGTCGCACCACAAGACGTGTCGTCAGGGCGGGCCGGGCGATTCGCCCGAGACTTCCCCACGATCTATGATCTTGCAGCTTGAAACTTCCAACAGCTACACGAGTGGAGCACAGGTGGTCCTAAAAATGGGGGTCTCGCCTTGGCGCCGCGCACATTCGCTCTCAAAGATTGCAAGATTTACACGCAGGGAGTGTGGGCCGTTTAAAAACAGAGATCTTGCCCATAAAACTGACACACGGATGGGCGTCGGCTCGCCTTCCAAATGGGGATCTCCGCTCGAGCCTTCCTAGACCTGCACGACCCGAAGTTTACACTTTGTGTGGCAGCTACACGGACAGAGGGCGGCCCCCGCTTCTGACAAGGCGATCGCCTGAAACCTCATGGAGTGGCACGACGCGAACGTCAGAACCGCGCGGCGCGCCTTGCATTGAGTTTGAAGGCAGATCCCCCCGAAACGCAGCTGTCGCTGGACACGTGTTTGTGAAGGGGCCCTGGGACACACAAACATAAATAGACACAAATAACAGGATTCCCCGTAGTTTC